ACCCCACACCATCTTTTTGCTCCCAACGTACCTAAAGAAGGATGTTTTAGTGTCCTTAATCCCTGACACTAACCTGAGTTCTAGAGTTGCCTTGGCCTTCCTGACCGACTCCCTGCAGGTGTGGGCCAAAGAAGTATACTTCTCTTTGCTAGCTACCCCTTGCTTCCATTTCCTGTACGCCTCTTTTTTTTGCCCTTAAGGTATCTTGGATGCCTCTAGTTAGCCAAAGGGGCTTCCTGGCCCCCCTTGCTCCCTTTCCTCTGCCATGGGATTGACTCACTCTGAGCCCAAAGAATGGTTTCCTTGAGTAATGTCCACTCATCCTGGACCCTCAATGCATCCAAGTTCTTAGCTCCTAGCACCCTGCTAACCAATCCCCTGAGTCTGTTAAAGTCAGCTTTTTTAAAGTTCAGTACCCATGCTGTTAGGTATAATGCCCTCCCTTCGCTAGATAGTGAATTTAATCATTTGGTGATCGCTGATCCCTAAGTTGCCTCGAATCCGCAGGTCCCCCACCAGGTCATCCCCTGTAGCCAACACCAAGTCGAGCAAGACGTTGCCCCTGGTGTGACACCTTACCTCCTGTGTTAAGTAGAAGTCCTGAATACAGGTTAAGAACCTGTGAGAGCAGTTAGATCTAGCTGACTGCTCCTCCCATAATATGTCTGGGTAGTTGAGGTCTCCCATGACTACCATATCTCTAGACCTCACAGCCTCTTCGAGCCTTCCTTTAGCTTTCTCTGAGTTCTTATCTCTTTTTTTCCTAGTACAGAAAAAATGGCTCCTACTACTTGCTTCCATCCATGATGTTCATTCTTTCACATCTGAGATGAATTAATTAGGTCTTGGAACTCAGAGGCATAAAGATACATTAAAGACTAATGTGTTGATTTTGCTTTGCTGCTCTCTTCCTCTGAAGCAGAACAGAGGGAAACCTTGAAGAGCTGGTAATGAGGACTCCACTGAAAGCAATGCCTGTTAGCAGCTTCAAACTCAGAGCTGTGCATGACATTCTCATCTCCTCCACAGGTGATGTGGGAGGATGTGAGGAGCGAGATAGTTGGAGAGAAGGAGCTCTCGACTGAGGCTGCAGATTGCATTGGGGAATATGTTAGACTCCATGGTAAGTTCTTTGGAGCTGTGCAATCTTGTCCCTGTCCTTCAGCATCCAGGCCAATAGGGAGTCCCTGTGGGTCACATCCCCCACCCAGCAACCACTCCAGCTTGCTCAGCCCCTACACAAGGAGGGTCAGAATTTTGTAGACCCTGGGCTGCTGCTGCTGCTACTTCCTAGGCCAACCTGAGTGTGGTTGGTACCCTGTGGATGGGAGATTGTGAGGCACAAGGCTGGAGCAGCAAGCATGTGACTGTGCTGCATAGAGTGAGCCCTAAGAGCTCTGGCTAGTAACCTGGTCCTCCCTGTTTGGTAGGTTTCAGTTATGAGTCCTGTTTCTGCAGGTGGGCTGGACCTGGTTGAACAGCTGCTCCAGGACCCAGAACTCTCCCAGAACAAGCTGGCCAGGGAGGGGCTAGGAGACATGAAGCTGCTGTTTGAGTACCTGATGCTATTTGGCATTGCAGATAAGGTGAGTGGGGCAAGAAGCAAAGAGGGCTGCTGCAGGCCTGGCTGAGTGGCCTTGGACTCTTGTAATTGTGCCCAATAATGGAATTCCCTTTCTGTTGCACAGATCTCCTTTGATCTGAGCCTGGCCCGGGGTCTGGATTATTACACGGGGGTGATCTACGAGGCTGTCCTGCTCCAGCAGCAAAATGACCGTGAGGAGGAGCCAGCCACTGTTGGCAGTGTGGCTGGAGGAGGCCGCTATGATGGGCTGGTGGGGATGTTTGATCCCAAGGGGAAGAAGGTTCCCTGTGTGGGCGTTAGCATTGGAATTGAACGGATCTTCTCCATCCTGGAGCAGAAAATGGAGGTAAGTGCTGCTCTGCTTTGCTTCCCCATGTTCTCAGGGAAGACAGACTGCCATTTGACCCTTCTCCCTGCTAGTGCAGAGCGATGGATTTTCAACTCATCTAGTGTACTAGTTACTTGCTTAGTTACTTCCCTGAAACAAGGTGCAGTGGCTCTCCCTGATCACACAGCTATAGGCATGTGAATATTAATTCAGCACAACAGTGGTTTGTGCATGCCTCTGGCTCATTCGCACAGCTAGGGACTATATCATATCTGGTCTCCCCACTTACACTTTTCATAAGGCATTTAACCTCAAGCAATTTGTCAACTCCAGGAATGTTGCAAATGGTGTAGGACTGGCTAACTAAATCCCTCTCTAGGAAATGGATTTTGGTACTGGCTCTACTTAACAGTCATATTTCCAGAGGAGCCTGCCAACTTTAAAGTCTGGCCTCTGAGACTCCTTTAGTCTCATTTCACTCCAAATTTGTTTAGGAGCTACAAGTATTCATGCCTCTGATTTGTTGTATCCAGTGGGTCTTTGGTTGAGTACCTAAAAATGAGGCACTCAAAATCAGATGTTACTTCTAAATTCTTGGACCGCAGTAATTAGAGCATCAAAAATTCAACATACTTTTCTAAGCTCAACCCCTTTGGTTGCCCATATAGATATAAAGCAGGATGGATTCCACTGATGGGGAAAAAGTTGCACCAGAATTGGTTTTTGTGGTCTATTGGAAGATGTCGCATTTGCTTGAAGGGGCACTGAACAGTTTTGCTTAGTGGATTCTCTGTTGGAGGAGAGTCCTCGCATTAGGAAAATTCCCCACCAAGAGGTAAATGAAACACTATGAAATCCCAACAAATCTTGTCGTCTCCTTGGGGCTGTAGAGAGAAGGTAGCCAGGCATTTGCTCTGCTGTGTTCTGTTCTGAGGGTCTAGGGATGACAATTTCTTGCAGCATGTAAGGAATCAGGTCCCCACCTGCGTTTGTACTGGCTACAAAGGAATGGCTAGCCAGTTGAAATAGAGAATATCGAGGGTTAAAGGTGACCAGCAGGGGCCTGAAAGAATTTCCCAGGAAAGGGTTTTTTGCTGGTTTTACCCTAGAAAGATGAGAGATACCAGCTCCATCTTCCAAGAAGGGGAGGCAGGACTTGGTAAAGGAGTTTTCTTAGCTTCAGCTTGAGAAGGCTGAGCTCTGATGTTTCATACAGAGTCACAGACATTTAGGGCTGGAAGGGACCTCATGAGATCATCAGTTCCAGCCCCCCTGTCCAGTTTGGTTTGCATTATGGCAGTATCTGTGTTCCATGCACTGTAATGGCACCTGCTGCCTTCACACATAGCAAGGTGGAATGCATAGGTCCTGCCCCAATGAGATAGTCAAAGTATTACAGGCAACCCCCACTTAGCGCTGTTAATTGGTTCCTGAAAAAACAAGTGTTAAGCAAAATGAGCGTTAAGTGAAAATGAAAATATTTGACAACCCAAGATGGCAACCACAATTGTTTTTAATGACCCAAGATGGTGACTGCAAGCATTATAATGAAACTTGCTGAGTGCTAAATGAAATAGGGTATCAAATTCAAGTGAGTGTTATAGCAAAATAGCAATAAGTAAAACAGCATTAAGCAGGGGTTGCCTGTACAGAACCTGCAGTCACTGGAGAAACTGCATGTGCTCATTGTTTAGCACACTCAAGTCTGGGAAGGGGTGATCTGAGCTCCAGGTGAAGAATGGAGGGTCTACTGATTTAACATGATAGTTCTCCAGCAATTCTGACAGTTCCATGCCCCCCCCACAACATAGCTGCTATTGCTGACCTCCTTTCTTATCCTTCCATGTACCTCAGCTTTCTGTGGCCTCTTCTGCCAAGTCTTTATCAGGAGGTAGAAGCTAGAGTCTGCAAACACAGACTTAATGCCCATTTAAGGCCTGCTCAGCTGATGGTGGGTGGAGTTGCTGGTTAGTGGCAGCTCCAATCTGATGTTGCAGTAGGAAAAGATAGAAACTGCATTTTTCAACAAAATCCAACGTTCTCAGGAAGGTCAAATAGCCCTCAAAGGATGGGGTTTGGTTCTCCTTTGCAGGAGTTGTCAAGCAATCTTCCTTCACTGTTGCTCTTTGCTTGTCGTTCTACAACATGAGCAAGTTCTCCCTCTGCCCATTAATTGATGTTTACAAAGGGCTCTAAGGCCCTGCCTATATTGCATCAGCAGTGGGTTTCATATACAACAGAACTGAGCACATCTTGCTTTCCTGAGCAGGAAATTAGCTAGTGAGGCTGATTGTTTCACCCCCAGTGCCTGCTCTGAGAACTGCCAAGACTTAAGGGCTGTAGAATGCATGGTGGGAATGAGTCTGGAGCAACTTTGCAATTGAACCACTGGCTCAAGAGCATGCCCATGGACTCTGGTTGGCATGATGAACATGGTCCCATTCTCCCTGAGATCCACCACTGCTATATAGATAAAAGCCAGATCCTGTTCTATCTGCTAGGCAACTACATTGGTAAGTACAGCCTTATTCCACACTGCTTGCATCCCTGAAAAGGTGTTGAAATGTTTACTTTTGTCAAGTATCTTTGTCTCAGCCTTAAGCAACTTTTTTCAGGGGCTTAAGCAGGCTGGAATATGGTCACACCTGGATGTCTACTTGGTGATGTACTGACCCAGCGTATTTGGTGGTATTTCTTGACTTGAAGGACTAGAGGTGGGTGAAGTCTCTGCTCAGTAGTTGTTAGGGTAGTTCTGTAGGTCTTGAACAGATCTCTTAACATCCTGTCTGCTCCCAGGCTTCCAAGGAGAAGATCCGGACAACAGACACACAAGTGCTTGTGGCGTCTGCTCAAAAGAAACTCCTTGAAGAGAGATTGAAGCTCATCTCTGAGCTATGGGATTCTGGGATCAAGGTATGACTGGAAAGTGTCTGAGCAAGGAAAGAAAGAGACCAGTTGGATCTATTCCTTCTTTTTCTGGTGCTGGGCATGGAGGACTGTGAGCAATGAGGACTTTCAGGAGAGATGCTGCACCTGAGCAACAAGCTCTGAGCTCTTGATTTGTGATTTTACTACCTGTTCAGTTCTATCCAGAGGTCCCATGTCTACATTCACGCATTCCTCCTCCTCTGCCAGTCACTGAGAAGGGGACTTGGCATCTGCTTAATAAAAGCACCCAGGTCACTTTACCTCCTGGGGGCTCCAAAAGGTATTTTCTTGTGTCCCTGGGCAAGAGCGTACAGGAAATCCTTTATTAAGTCCCTTGCTCCACATCATTTTCCAGCTGTAGCCTCCTCTTCAGACCTAAGACCTGCTGTCCAGCTCCCCCCATCATTTTGCCCAGCAAGAGAAAATTGCGCTGCCTTTCTAGATTTAGCTTCCTGGCCTACCCTTGGCACTGGTAGGGGTAGGCTTTCTGGGGCCTCAGCAAAGCAGAAAGAGAGCTTGAACTGTACTGCCTACCTCAGGAGCCAGCAACCTTTTTCGAGCCACAGGCAGGAACAACCTGGATCCAGTTCAGCATGGGCCCAGAGGCTTTGGCAGTGTGTCAGCAGCAAGGGCAGGGGGCAGCTGTCTCTGCCTGTTGAAGCCAGGCAACTGGGAGCTGTGCTGCCTCGGTACAACTTTTCCCAGCCCCCCTTCCCCCCATGCCTTGGTTGGGTCATGAGTCTAGCTTCTAGCAGGAAGGGGGAGCTGCACCAGGGGTAGACAGCTAGAAGCTTTGCCTGCACTACTGCTGCTTCTCTCTGCTCCTTCCCAACCCCACAGTGTGGGCACAGCTGGAAGCTGCCCAGCCCTGACTCAGTTCTTCACTGAGGGGACAGAGAGAAATGACAGCAATGTGGGTACATCTCCCAGCTGCATAGAACCAACACAGCTTCTCACTGTCCAGTCCCAGCACAGGAATGGGCAGAGGCAAGGTCTTCCAGCTCTGCTGTCCTGATATTGCTGATGTGACTAAATGTTTTCTAATGTTGAAGGTAATGTTCCAGCTCTGGAAGTTCTCTTACTGATTTTTCAGAAAGATAAGCCACATTTACTTCCTGGTACTGATAACTCTGGTCCTGCTTCCTCAAATGCAGAGCAGAAGGAAAGCCCAATTAGTAGGAATCTCAATCCTGAATGCTCAGAGAAATCAGCATGAAACAAACATGCGTCTCTCCTCTGGGTCCCTCTAGGCAGAAGTGCTATACAAGAAGAACCCCAAACTGCTGAACCAGCTGCAGTACTGCGAGGACACTGGGATCCCTCTTGTTGCCATCATAGGTGAGCAGGAGCTCAAGGATGGAGTAGTCAAGCTGAGAGATGTAGCTACCAGGGAGGAGGTGAGAATTACTTTCTGTATTGGGGATGGGTTGGGCTGGAAATTGACCAGCTTTGCCTTGTCAGAGATTAAATGTACCATACATGGGAAAGGATGGAGGAGAGACCTGACTGTTGCCTGCCTCTCCGCCTATGTGTATATATTCATTGAGTACTAGTGCTGAATTTTGCTGTAGTAACACATTCACACTCACTGCATCGCAGAAAGTCTTAGAGTTATTTGACGAAGGAGAAATCGAAGAAGCTAGGCCCTTTAATCTGAATTAGTGAGGTACAGGAAGATAAAAGCTCTCCCCAAACAGTGGGCAGACTGAGCAAAGGGAGAGAAGTAGGGTAGGTGCTAATGAGGACCAGAGTGGAGGTGAGGTTGTTGAGTTAGTGGCAACACTTGTCTAGATTGGAGCAACACTTGCCTAGATTGGAGCAAATCTGTGGTGTGGTCATGTTGCTTTCTGTAGTACCCCCTTGTGACGTACTGTGGTGTTACCTCAATATCCTTCCAAATCTTGTAAAAATGAATTCACAGGCTAAAATACTCAGCTAACATTCCACCTCATTTTGGGTTATTTTTATCAATACCGTTGGTTTTGGCTCTTTATGCCAAAAACTTCCCTATTCAAGTTTCTGATGTCTAGTCCTGCAGCTTCAGTTTCTGAGTTTCCTTCTAGTTCCCTCCGAGCCAGGGAGCTGTACAGAGTCTTTAGCACAGGTAGTCTCCTACTCTTATCCTTGGGTTCCAAAGCATTAAGTCATGAAATGGGATTCAGGATTAGTGTATAAAGGATTGACACAACTTGTTTGAGTGACAGAAAGGCTTTATTTACTACAAGTATTCACTGTTAAATGAACCTAAAGCAAAGTCCACTATTTTGCTGTAAAATGATAGTTTCTCTTCAGTACAGGCAAAGAGGTGGTCTCAATCTTTTCAGCTTCTCTAAGGTGTGGATCCTTTCACCTAGAACAGTGGTTCTCAAACTCTGACAGATTGCACACCACCAATTTAAAACAATACAACCTTAAGTACCACCAGCAAATTTTTGTCATATAAAGTAATTATAATAAATCTGTTAATGCTTACCACTGACGGGTTGTCTGCATGCCACTGGCGGTACACGTACCACAGATTGGGAACCGCTGACCTAGAAGACCAGCTGGGCATGGTATCAGTTTTTGTCAGAATGATTCTTATCCTTGAAGCGCACCCTGTTAGCTATTTCATTCCTCTTTTTTATACCCTTTAGCTCAGCAACTTCAAAGCATTCTCACAGTTGTGTAAATCAAGAAAGAGTCCTAAGCAGTAATTAACAGGAAAATCCTGTTAATCAAACTGTTCATT